TCAGGTTATCTCTAGAGTCCTTAGCAACTTTCTTTGATCTCCAGAGTTCCACAATTGTAAAGTTGTCTTCAATTCTGATCTGTGGATTTAGAGCACAGCACTGCCATCATGTGGTAGGTACAGCGATAGGTCTGCATTTTTAAGTACTGCTGTACCAACAAAACAGGGCAAACTAATGGAAGACAGATGTTCAAAGAGACATGATCAGGTTTAATTAAGATTAGCCACAGTAGAGTAATAAAACAATGTCGTCTAACTATCTCTCATCCAAAGAAAATGAAGAGATCAAAAATAATTTAAGGCAGGTTAAATTGACTCACACAATGATAAAATCTATTTACCTGAAATGCCCCCACAATCACTGAATCTCAAAAATGATTCAAGACCTGAGGATTTATTCCTCTAGGCTCTCAAAAGAAATTTCAGTTGCTGTACTGTTGATATTTGACTCTGTTGACTAATGAGTTTGCAGACCACTGGGAGCAGGGACCTTTCTGCAAGAGTATGCTTATTTACCCCTATGCTTATTTAATACATTCTTTCTTCTAGTCAGTAGTTGGTAGTACAAACAGGAATTCACAAAGAAAGTACACACACAAAATGTAGGCTCCAATTTTTTTTTAATTAAATAAACTTCAATTCTGTAAAACAAACATTCTCATATGTAATACTTAGGCACATAATATGCTCATACATAATAGGTCCATGATTTCTGAAACTATGATTAAGAGCAGAGGTAGAATGTTTTTACATTGTTCATTTTGAAATCATAAAGTTATGGGAAATCATATTTAGTTTTAATGTTTTGAAATTTTATTTTATTCAGGAACAGAAATACAAAGACAAGAAGTGGGATTAGGACAAGTACTAGCGTCTATAATAGCACCCTCTGGTGGTTCTGATGGATTGTTACTATACATATTATTTTCTATCATTCCAATTTAAATCTTTATATATGTAACTAGTGGCCCACTGCATGGATTCGTGCACATTAAAAGGAAATTAATTAGAAGGTGGTCAGCAGGGCGGGACTGGGTGAGACAGACTGGACACACCCTGGAGCTAACCTCCCTCGGTCCGGTCCCTCCCCAGCTGGCTGCACCTGGATGAACTGGGTCCCTCCAGCAGGTGGGGTCCCTTGGCATGGCCTGCTGGGATTGGGCCAAAACTGGCTCTCTGACATCCCCCTAGAGGTCCAGAGTGCTAGAGTTGTTGTTGCTGGGCAGCTCCTGCATTGAGCATCTGCCCTCTGGTGGTCAGTGCGCGTCATACCTACTGGCTGGTTGGCCGGTCAAATGTTCACTTAGCCTTCTATTTAAGCGTGTCGAACTCAATCAGAGAAGGGGCCAAAATCTAAAATCCAGCCTAAATCGCGGGCCGAATGGTTTACTGAACAGTCATAAACTGTCATTGTGATGGAAACGCAGCAGAGTGCAGTGATGACAGCGTGGTGCGGGCCACATTGCAAGGCCTGGCGGGACGGATTTGGCCCGCGGGCCTTGTGTTTGACACATGTGATGTTCACTTAGCCTTCTAGGTAGATAGATATCCATGGCCAGTTATGAACTTTTTTTTTTGAAGTTCACAAAGCTATGCTCTCTTGTGCTTAGTGTATTATTATTTCTTTCAACCAAACAAGTTTTGTGGGGATTGGGAAAACAAAACATCTTGTTGAATGATCACATTTTCCCACACAGTATGACATTAAAGTTACTGTTGCTGAGAAATGTATGATTTATATAAAATACACAGTTGGATACAAAGTGAGCTATTACTAAATCATTCAGCTGTTAGTTATTTGATTAAGGAAAACAATGATTAATGTATTGTTTTTAGTAAATATTTCTTCAGCATAGTTTCAGGATAAGCTTGTAAGAAGGCTACAATGGAGAAAACACAGGCTCTGCTTTGAACAATGACATTAGTATAACAACTACAATCAAAGATAAAAAGGTGGTGACTGTCAAGAAAAGATATTTGATCTTGTGCTTTGAGAGTTGATTTCTGATGGGCAAGACAAGGAAAATGCATGAGGCAGGGACTTTACTGATCTGAGCTGGGCCTTGACTGAGAAATGTAACTTAGGTATGAAAAGGTGTTTGGGGCAGAAAAAGTATAACAAAATTGGGGGGGGGGGGGAAGCTCCAGTCATAGTTCAGGAGAAATAAGCCAAACCAAAGGGAGTCAGAGTGAATGGTCTGAGTGGACTTCCATGTAAAGCATTCGAAGGAGAATTAAGAGAGGTACATTTGAAAAGAAACAGATGATAAAGGACTCTGGAAGGCAAACTACAAATTTGGCTAAAATGACTTATGTTAAGAGGAGGTATAGCCCAGTAAAAAAGCCAAGGTCCATTCTGCATCTTAATTGAATTCATTTTCAGAAGCAAACCAAATGTCAGGCTATCTAATTCTATCCCACATTTACATAACCAGGTTAAGAGTAAAATAAAATCAAATAAAGCAGTAGATGTTTTGTTAAGGTAATGCCAAACACCTAGATTTATTTTAAATTAATTACCTAACATAACTACCCAAAATTTCTTTAGACACAACCTTACATAAATTTTGTTTGCAAAAATATTAGGTAGACAAGACTTACTCCAATATATGTATATGTTTCATAGATTTTTTTTCTTTTTGTATCTATAAAAGATTATTCGTTTGCATATAAATGGACAGCACTTGCACAGGCTTTCTGAATGAGATTTCTATTCCACTAAACAAGACAAAAAAAACTGTCTTTTGTTAAATTTACTTCTAGCCTTGTTCCTTTCTTCTTATATCATTTTGCATTCTGTACACATCTGAAATTTCCCAGAAGGGAATACAACTAAAAATTGTATCAGGAAAATCAAAGTTCACAAAAGAAAGGATTGAATATTTGTAAATGTAAATAATAAGACATCCTTTCTATAATGTAGTTATTTTGATACATTGTAAGATTGCTCTTGAATGGAAATTGTTTTAATTTAGTAGAAATAAGTTGATTTAAAATTAAACTTTGTTAAGATTTGTCTTTGAAAATAGTATATTGTGACTTTTCTAGTCAATAAAATTAAAAATTTTTATTCAATATCATACTAAAAACTATAAACAGTCTTGTTGGTTGGATTATATAATGACAACCAAAAAGTATTACAGTGTTCCTTTTTTTTACAATCAATTGACTAATCTGATTCATTATGCGGCTAATTATGCAATTTAATTTATTTTATAAATGCTTGTAATTTTATATCACAGTGATGTTATCTTTTTATTTTTAAGTTATTTTTTAAATTACTTTCTTTAACACCAAATACTCTATCTGTGTTTTTTCTGCATAAATTGAAGAAAATATTAAGCAAATATTGTAACTATCATTCTGTTTCAGCAAATCTAGTCCTACGGGTTGCCAGTAATTCATTGATCAGTAGCTATTTAACAGGATTCAAGCCTTTTTCTAAATAGCTATTTCCAATGTATACCTGATATGTAATTGATTAATACACATCCCCCCCTTCCTATCCTGAGAAACTGATACTATTGTACTATCACTGGAATGGATATAAAACTGTCTGGTAGCTTTAGAGAATCTGTTGTCCTGAAATGAGGGAAACACTGAATTTTTTTCAAGATTGATCCTGACTGCCCTGATGATGGTTTCCTGCCTCTCATGGTTTCCCTCACCATGTCTATATTTTTCACTTCCCATGGTTATATTGATTATATTAAAATTCCAACACATCAAGAGTTGTCATGCTTGTATATTGTTTCTTAAGAAAAATGCAGATATCTTAGGATCACTAAAGAATAAGCAACGATTCATCCAGTAGTGGGACTCTATTTGCTTACGAAACTCCCGATTGAACAGAGGCGTGTCTACGGAAGAGGGCCTTTTAGGTTAGTAGCATAGAATGTGTCTACAATTACACGAGAAGCAGGCAAACATACTGACAGGACTAGGTACACTCAAATACACTGGGGAACAGCCACTGAGGAGAGAATGGGAGAATAGCAAGATGAAGAAGAGTCGGTTACTGGGCTCATGCTTTCTCTCCTCACAGCCACAAGCTTATGAGACAGGCCTTGCTGACCCCATTATTTTCCAATGAGGAAACTGAGAATTCTTAGGTTCACTACAGAATGATTGGGCTTCAAAATCACATCAATATGATCAAAGCTTATACTCTTAAGCTGACCAGATAAAAGAAGGTAGATAACAATTTCAAAAATTTGCCAAGAGAACCTTCTCTCTACAAAAATAAGAGAAATGCTTGACTTCTTTTTATGTCAAAAGTTTTCCCCAAATCTCCTGTAATGTAGAACTTCACTAACAATACTAGTATTATACTGCATAATTTATAGAACAAAATTATTATGTTTCTATGGGAATATAGATTCTTATATCCCCCCAAAAATTAAACTTATTACAATTTTCAAATAAGTCCCAGTCATAAACTGAGAGGTGCCTAAAAAGAAACAAATATCTTAAGATTGAATAACCTGCTGGAGATAGTTGGTAGAGCTACATCCAAACAAGCACAGAATTTCAATCACTTCTTCACTTCTCAAGAGGAAAACATTATTCGTTATTAATATGGAAAATAAGCAATTTTTCCTTATCCTGCTATTTGTATTTACCCAAATCTTCCTAAACTGCTTTCTCCATGAAATAGCCAGCATTCTTATTTGTTTGCTATACAATTATTGCAATACTGTACACATAAATCACAAATAACAATAATAGAATACTTACAACTATTTAACTCAGTCTAAAATATGATGGTTTATCCTTAAAAGTGATTGCTTTTTCCTTTATGTCTAATGATAACAGTCAAGGCCTGTGTGCATTATCTGTTGAGGAAAACAAAATGAAAGGCAGGTTAAGAAATGCGAAGTTCTTGCCAAAGCCGTTTCTTTATAGCTAGAAATGAAGACAATGCGTAATCATGCACTTGGAGATCCCTGCGAGTAGTATCACTGACTGACTGTGGTGTTGACTCTTCCCACATCATGCAGCAAAGCCTACCAATCACCGGCCTGCAGACAGCTCCGTGTCCACCGGCTCCTCGGGCAGCAGCTTTGGCAGTGGGTATAGCGTGGACAGTGAAGGAAGCAGCAGCACTGCAGGGGAGACTAATCTATTTCCTATCCCAAGGATGTAAGTGGTTCTTTTTTTCTCACTCCAAAGCTAACAGCATCATGAGTAAGCTTTTCTTAACATTTAACAGGAAATACTAGATAATTATCCAATTCTGAGTCATTGTCCCTGAAATGCTTCAACTGTTCATGTTTACACTTAAAAACAACAACAACAACAACAACACTGTTTAGGAAAGACTGGATTCATTTAATTATAATAATTTGAAGGATGAATGATGATCACAACCAGCTTTACTTATTTAGTGCAATTTGTATTAATTAAAAAAAAAACTGATAAAAACTGATTAGCCATGCTTGAATCATACTTTAAACACATACTGAACAAACACAAACATCATTGGGATTGGAGATAAACAGATTAATTTACTTTGAATCAGGAGAGATAAAACAGATTTAAAGAACTCATGGTATATTTGAAATAGATAACACTTTGGGCTGCTCAAACAAATTTTTTTCCAGCTATAAATCTCACTACAATTAAAATTAAAGATTTTTGAAGTTTGTCCAAATTTTCTAGAACAAATAGCAAGCATTCCATAGATCCCTGAATAGATACTCTTAGAATAAAGTTCATTTATAATATGTCAAACCTTAAGAAAATCATATTGCAAATCAAATGTAAGATTGTTTTTAGAATGGATTTAGTCATATGGGTGGCAAAATCCAGCAGGATCCAAGATAAATATGTAGGTCATATCTGTTCCCATATAAAAACTGAAACAATGACCTTTCCTTCTCCTCCCCACTGCTAGTGTTCTGGGCTTTCAAAAACACCACTGGTCCACACAGCTCAAGAATCTGGGCCAGGGGGAATCCAGCCCACCACCTGGTGGTGTTAGCTTTTGAATTTTTAAATGTTTGAAAAAAGAACAAAACAAAACAAAAACAGGAGAGAATAGCATTTCGTGACACAGGAAAATCCTATGGAATCAAAATTTCAGGCTCACAAGTTTCTATTAGAACACAGCCACGCCTGTGCATTTAAGCGTTGCTGATGCTGCTTCTCACTGTGAGGCAATCTCGAATAGTTGCTATCTGTCCTTTACAGAAAAAGCTTACAGACCCCTCCCTGAAACCCTGGAGAAGGGTCTTTTTCATTTTCTCCAATGTTGAGGGAGGCTTTCTTGGGGGTGGAACTTCCTTTTCTCATTGTTTGTTTGTTTGTTTGTTTTGCTTTGTTTTATTTTTAATATATTTTGTTGATTTTCCACAGAGAGGAAGGGAGAAGGATAGAGATCTAGAAACATCGATGAGAGAGAAACATTGACCAGCTGCCTCTTGCACACCCCGCACCAGGATGTGCCCGAACCAAGGTACATGCCCTTGTCCGGAATCGAACCCAGAACCCCTCAGTCCACAGACCCATGCTCTAATCCACTGAGCAAAACCAGTTTTGGATTCTCTTTGTTTTAATGTCATGATTTTTTATTCTTTCCTTTTGATCTCAAGAATAGCACTATTATTTAAATAATGGCTCAATTTACAAGAGCAAAATCTTGGAGGAAATGTATTTGTACAGTGAAAAATGTGTTTATACTGTGATTTTTAAGTTACATTTTTCCTGCTTAAAATGAGTAATTGTTGGATCACCTGGCCATCTTTATTTTGTAAAGAATTTCACTATGGATCCATACAGTTATTTGTATTTAATTATTTTTCATTGAAAATTATTTCTAAAAGAAATCTGATCTCATTTGTTCTCAGCCTCTGATGATCCCGTTTGATGGGAGAGAATTTTAGCAAATTCATTAAATCCCTATCTATAAATTGCAAATTTCATATGAAATTATAAAGGTTTGCACCACACATCTCTTAATAACCTTACAATTCATCTTCACCTTTCAAATACTATTCTAACACTAATGATCAAGTTATAAATTTCAGAGTGTAAACTCTATTTTTTCCCCATTTTCATATTTCTCTTGTAAATCAAGGCATTTCAAAATTGCTTAGGAAGCTATTGTTTGCCATATGAGCACACAAAATAGTTCTCTTTTCTAAAGCATTATAGAATAAACATATGTACAAGCAGTATTTACTAGTTATTATATATGCCCCTTTGTGTCTAACGTAAGTGCACTAGCATAAGTGCTCAGTAACTATTTGGTAAGTGATTTACAAATATAATTCTAAACTGTGTAGTCAGGCCGAAACCGGTTTGGCTCAGTGGTAGAGCATCGGTCTGTGGACTGAAAGGTCTCGGGCTCGATTCCGGTCAAGGGCATGTACATTGGTTGCGGGCACATCCCCAGTAGGGGTGTGTAGGAGGCAGCTTGTCGGTGTTTCTCTCTCATCGACATTTCTGGCTCTCTATCTCTCTCCCTTCCTCTCTGTAAAAAAATCAATAAAATATATTTAAACTGTGTAGTCAGAATGTTCTGAGCTGAATATTATTTATTGGAAATTTAGAAAAATTGCACCAGTCACATGACTCACAGGTACGTTTCCTTTGTACTTCATTTAGTTTCATAATGCTGTAAAAATTTTCTAGGTAGCCAGCTGACATGGCTCAATGGTTGAGCATTGACCTATGAACCAGGAGGTTATGGTTCAATTTCCAGTCAGGGCACATGCCCAGGTTGCAGACTGGGTCTCCAGTGTAGACAGCCAATCAATAATTCTCTCTCATCATTGATTTCTCTCTCTCTTCTCTCTCTCTCTCTCTCTCTCTCTCTCTCTCTCTCTCTTCCCCCCCCCCTTCCTCTTTGAAATTAATAAAAATATATATTAAAATTTTTCTAGGTAATTATAGAAATGCACCAAGTACAGATTTTAGCTACATATCTAATGTTAAAATCAGTTTTCATTAGAAGCAATGACTGCAGCTGACTATCACCACTAAAATGAATTATAGGACTCAAGATCAAATAAAAAATATTAAAAATTATTTTATTACAATTACTAAAAATTATAATTATTTAGTTAAAGCTTGACATAGTATAAGATAGTATATTTTAAGTACTCTCATCTGCTAGATTACCACTACCAAAATGATCCTCACTTTCAACTGAATTTGGCTCATTCTACTAGGATGGTGTATGTTCAAGGTGGGATGGCTGCTGTATTGTTGAACTTTTCCCCTTTTTATAACAGAGGAAAATTAATGTTTTTTAAATTATCAACTACCTATCTTGAATCTCACAGAAGCAATTACACAAATTGAGGTTTTTATGGATTGCTTAAATAAGACTTTTTTTTTTTTTTTAATCCTGAGGTAATGTGCCTTCCCAGGAAGAAAATTTAGCAATGTGAATCACATGATTGTACACATTACCGAAAAGTCTGTTTGTGTTTTCTTCTTCCCTTCCTCTCTCTAACTCTCCCCTCCAGCCCTTCCTTTCTTCCTTCCTTCCTTCCTTCCGTCCTTCCTTCCTTCCTTCCTTCCTTCCTTCCTTCCTTCCTTCTTTTCTTCATTAATTCCTTCCTTCCTTCTTATAATTTCTTTCTGGCATAGTGGCTTCACTATCTTTTTTTTATTTTTAATTTCCATCTTCCCACCATCTCCACGTTGGCAACCCTTAGCTTGTTCTCTATGTCTATGAGTCTGTTTCTGTTTATTCATTTATTTTGATTTTTTTTTTTAGATTCTACATTAAGTGAAATCAGACATTATTTATCTTTTTCTGTCTGACTTACTGCACTTAGCATAATAATCCATAGTTTCATCCATATTGCTGCTAATGGCAATATTTTGTATATACTACATCTTCTTCATCTATTCACCTGTCCATGGACATATAATTTGCAGCCATATCTTAGCTATGACAATAATGCCACAATGAAGATAGAACTGTATATATCTTTCAAATTAGTGGTTTTGTTTCGTTCAGATAAATATTCAGGAGTGAAATTGCTAAATGGAATAACAGCTCTATTTTTAATTTTTTGAGGAACCTCATACTATTTTTCTATAGTGGCTACATTAATTTATAATCCCAGCAACAGTGCACATAAGTGTTTCCTTTTCTCCACATCCTCACCACCACTTGTTTGTTGATTTACTGATGACAGCCATTCTGACAGGTGTGAGATGACATTATAGTTTTAATTTGCATTTCCCTGGTGATTAGTGATGTTGAGCATGTTTTCATGTGTCTGTTGGCAATTTCTATGTCCTCTTTGGAGAAATGTCTATTCAGGTCCTCTGCCCATTACTATTTATTTATTTACTTGTTTATTCATTTTATTAATCTTCACACAAGGAAATGTTTAAAATTTACTTTTAAAATTTATTTTCATTTTTAAATTTTATTTTTAAAATTTATTTTTAATTACATTTGACATTCAATATTTTATTAGTTCCAACTAGTACAACATAGTGATTAGACATTTATACATCTTATGAAGTGATCACTCTGATGTCTACTACTATCCATCTGACACTATTCAGGCGTCCTCAAACTTTTTAAAGTGGGGGCCAGATCACGGTCCCTCAGAGAGCTGGAGGGCCGGACTATATGAACTACTAATTCCTACTGTAACACCTCGGCTGCGCTCACTGCCCAAAAAACCTGGCGGGCCAGATCAGACTCCTCTGCGGGCCGCATGTGGCCCGCGGGCTGTAGTTTGAAGACACCTGCATGTAGTTATTGCAATATTATTGACTATATCCCCTATGCTGTACTTTATATCCCTGTGTCTGTTTTTATAACTGGCAATTTGTACTTTTTAATCCCTTCATCTTTTATACCCATCCAATCAACCCCCTTCCCATCATGTGACCATCAGTTTGTTTCTGTAACATTGTAGTGCAGTTTGATATCAGGTACTTTGTTCTTTTTTCAGTATTGCTTTGCTATTTGGGCTCTTTTGTTGGTTCCATATAAATTTTAAGATTACTTGTGAAATATGTCATTGATATTTTGATAGGGACCGCATTAAACCTGTAGATTGCTTTGGGTAATATGGTATAATTAGGTTCTTAAGAAAGAAATATGGTTACATTTTTACCATACCAAATATTTTTGTGAAAGTAAGAATTGTTAGTAAATCCTACTGTGTTAGAACTACTGTCTAGAAAGTATAGTATCAAAATGTTTTTTTGTTCAAGCATCCTTAAGCATTTTTATCCCATTTTTTAAAACATCTTCTATATGTACATACAAAGCAATTCCAAAAACTTTTGTATGTCATGTAGCTTTCTCTAACTAAAGAAATAGCCTATACTCTTTTGCCTATTACATTATCAATATTCTGTAGCCACAGTGCCCCCAGGATCATAAATTATCTATTTGGCCTTCCAAAACGTTTGATGCTGAAACAAAAAATGAACAGCAGGCTCAGTCTGAATTCTAAGGCCATTATGTCCATGCCTACCTATTAACACTTTATATTTATTGAATGCTATTATGTTTTAAGCACAGTGTTAAGCACTTCATATATTTTTTCATGTAGTTTTCTCATAACCAGAAGGTGGCTAATGTGACTATCCTTATATTACAAAAGAAGAAACAATCTTTACCAGAGTAAGTAGATATGCCTTTGATGACATACAGCATGAAATAACAAAGCTAGAAGCAGAAACCAAGCGGTCTGACTAAAAAAAAAAACCAATGTGCTCCATACAGCTGAATACCCTGGAAGGATCTGAAAGGAAGCCACTAAGTGAAGTAAAAGTCTGTGTTATTACAATATGATTTTATATAATTCAATTCACAGTTTTCATTCTCACCAAAGGATCAATACAACTCATCATAAAAAGTGTAAACATATAAAAACCATTCTCAGTTTTGAGTTTAAAATGGAAAAATAACCACTCCCATATTCTAAAACAAAATTTCAAAATTTCATGCTGGTCTGATCTTTAATAAATGAGTCAAGAATTAAGACACTGAATCTTGAGGTATTAGGTTGGACTATGTAGAAATAATAAACAAATTCCCATTTTAAAATTAACACTATATAGAGGAATTTATTATGTTTATATTTGCCATTCAGGTAATTTATTGCAGATATGAATATAAAATGTCATTCTATTTTTGCAAAGTTGGCTTCCTCGTTTGCATTTAGGCAAGCATATCTGAAAATAGTGTAATTTTATTATTTTCTTTATGAACAGAGGGAAGATGGGGCAGAATGGGCAAGATCCTATGAAACAGCCAGGAGTTGGAGTGGGCCTATCAGACACTGAAGGTAAGTTAAAATTAATGATACTGGATTTTGACTGAATCTATAGGCTACACTAGAAGTATTTTGATTTGTTTTTCCTTTAACATAAATGTTAATTTCTAAATTAACATTCTAATGATATACTAATGGCAGGAGCACTATGAAATGAATCATAGGAATCAACATTATTTACTAAATTAGAATGATTTTATAACTTCATTTAACAATTGTTCAATTTCCTTGTTCATGTTTAACATTTAATGTCCAATTTTCTTGTTCATATTTAACATTTAAGTGTTCATACTTAACAAAAATTTTAAGAGGAAGAAGAATGAGAATGATGACAAGACAGAGAGAAGAATTTCTTGGGGAAAAAGACAATCTTCACATTTCAAAACATTTTTTTTAAATACCATGCAAATAAAAAAAATCATGAAAGCTCATTTAAGTCAATAGAAATTCTTAAGTATATAGAGTTAAGAAGAAACCAATAGTCTAAAAATTATTCTGCAAAGAAAAAATAATGACTGAATAACTTCTAAAGTGGAAAACTAATTTGAAATTAAATTTGGTTATATTAACAAATGGTAAGGTTATTACAGATGTAAAACAAAACAAAACAAAACAAAACAACACAAACCACCCTTAACTTTAGCAAAAACATAGCCAGTATCTATAAGCACAATGAATGGCTTAGCCTTCATAATACTGTGATAAGATCAGATAGCACTGCTAGTCTGCATGCATTTACCAACCTTCAATGATTTTAACTATCCTTATTATTTTAAACTATCTCAAGTATTTTCATGTATTATGTCATTTTTTTTTCTTAAAATTACCTATGTAGGTAAACCATATCATGTACTGGTTTTACATAAAAGGAAACTAAAGTGTAAGCAGCACACAAGATAAAAGCAAGTGACTTGAACCCATGAAAACGATGCCAAATCACATGCCATTGAAAGAATGATTAAACGCACAATATCACAAGGACACTAGATTGGAACTAGGAAACCCAGGATTGGGTTTCAAATCTGGCCCTGATACCAAACTGATGACCTGGTCTGTCTGTCTTCAGAAATCTCATCCAACAAATGCAGAGTGTAAATGATGCCTAAGGTGCCTAGTGGACTTAAGAAGACATCACATATTTCTGATTCCACTTAAAAAACAACAACAACAAAAAAAAAACACAACACCTGGATTTATTTAAAGGCGCCATTTCCTCTTTGTGTTGCCATATTCCCCAGGGTTCCATCCTCAACTCACCAGTCTGTTCACCCACCCTCTCTGCATAATCTCACCCATGCTTGTTGATTAGTCCCAAATCTACTATCCAGACTCTGTGGAAACCATTCTGAGTATTTAAAAGAGAGGAAATGTATGCCTAGCAATTATTATATATTCATGGAAGAGCCTGAGAAACCAAGCAGGTGATAGTAAGGTAGCAGAAAGAAGCTGCTGTCCCTGCAGGCTGAAGGCCAGGAATTGCTGAAACCAGGACAGGTCTGTGTTGTTGGGCATGGGAAATACTAGAAATATATCTTGAGACAGACAGGATGGAGAAAAGTATCCCAGTTTCTCCTCTCTCCCAGTTTGCACTCTCTGCCAGTGCCTGATCAATTCCAGCTGGAAGCCAAGTGACAGGGAAACAGCCCAGGGAGCTGCTACTCCGGGAAGAGGGCAGGAGAAAGGTCGAGAATGCATCTGAGGGCACACAGCCTTAAGGCCAGTACAGTATTGTACCTGGAGATGCTATTGATTCATCAAAGTACATATTCACCTTCTTTTTCTTTTTTTTTTAATATATATATATTTTTTATTTTTTTAGAGAGAGGAAGAGAGAGGGATAGAAAGTTAGAAACATCGATGAGAGAGGAACATTGATCAGCTGCCTCCTGCACACCCCCTACTGGGAATGTGCCCACAACCAAGGTACATGGCCTTAACTGGAATGGAACCCGGGAGCCTTGAGTCCACAGGCTGACGCTCTATCCATTGAGCCAAACCAGTTTTGGCCATATTCACCTTCTTAAGTGCAAATTTAATTCACCTTCTTCCCTATTTTTCCTCCTTCTCCTCCTATGTGCTTCTACCACTCATAAAATCTAAGCCTATTTACATAATAATTTTCCTATTCTGTTATTATTTTTTTTTAATTCAAATTTACCAATTTCTCTGCCTGTCTCCTCCATAAATCTGAACAACTCTTAGACCAGAGCTGTGGTTTCCCAGCACTTGGCAGAAAGCCTTGCATCTAGAGTTAACTTCAACAATGTTTGTTGAGTGAATGAATAAGTAATATAACCAAATACAGAAGTAATAGCCATTGATTTTCATCTGACTTTAGAATTCAGGTATAGAGAGAAACAAGTCATGATCAGTTTTATCTAAGTTTTAGCTATTTGTTTTCACATTTCTTTTAATCTTAAGGTTTATAAATAAACTTCCTTTCATGTCAGTCAACATAAATAGCCAATTCATGTGATAACAAAAACAAACAAAACAGGGTTATTCAGTTTAATTTTAGACATGATGTACTTTCCTGACTTGGTTATCCCTCCTTTTAGTTCTTACAATGGCACCCAAAACACATTGTCTTTTTGTGGATTAATATAATTTTCTTAAAATTATAGATCTTGCTATGTTCCCTTTCATCTTGAATCTTTCATGTTAACTATTTAAGTGCTTTGTTTTATGAACACCTTGGTTTACTAGAAGGGAAATTGATCTACAAAGATGTGCTCTAGGACAGCATACTTTAAATCAAAAGTATATCATAGGTTTGAAGTAATCACCTTTATACAACTTGTTTCACTTTTAATTCTTATAAGTACATTTCCAGTAGGACATGATCTCACTCATCTAGGGGAAATGGTGAACAACATAGACTGATGAACAAGAACAGACCCAGAGATAAGGAGCCATGGGTCAGACTGTTGGACCTCAAAGAGAGGGTGGGGATAAAAGGGGGAGATCAACCAAAGGACTTATGTGCATACATATGAGCCTAATCAGTGGTCGAGGACAATAGGGAGATGGGGGCATGAGGGGGGGGGGTTGGGAGGTTGGAATGCAAATATGTGATACTTTATCAATAAATAAATTAATTTAAAAATGGTCTAAATGGAAAAAAAGTATATCATAGGTTTGAAGTAGTTGCCTTTATACAGCTTGTTTTCATAAAAGTTTATTTTATTATAGAACTATATTGCACAGAATCCAAAAAGTTATATTGTATGAGGCTGAAATTTTATGTTGAACATCTTAATGAAAAAATTATAATGCTAAATAGTCATGTTCTCATTCTACTTATTGAGCATGTCTACTTACTTGGTGTTCTAATTTTTTAAAAAATTTTTTCCACTTAATCTTTTTGTCTAATAATGTTTCATCTTCTCTATAGCAGTCACTCATATAGTTTAATCCCAGTGTGAGATTAATTCAGGGAGCCAGAATGTAAGATCATTCAAAGGTTCTGGGATTCTGACCCAAGATGTAGTGGAAATTATTAATACTCTTGTGGACTAACTTTACTAATGAAAGGTCAAACTTTTACAATTTAAATAAGTTCAAAGTGTGAAGTTCAAATAATCTCTATGTTTGGCACATGATTAACATCCTTTAAATTGTAGCTATTATTAAATTAGAAGTGAATTTAAGATGGGGATATTTTGATCCCATCCAAAGGAGTGAAATTAATCAAAATTGATAAAGTGTCATGCACTTGTTGGGAGATCTGCATAAGACCTTTTCTCTTAAAGATTTAATTCACATGAATTAGACTTTCCAATTGTCTTTTCCCAGTTTACATTCAAAACCTCTAATACCCTCAAGACAGATGATATGGCCCTTTTTTTAATTAGGTATATTTAATAGTGTTTTATTTTGCTAATGGGCATTCATATATATAACATATAGTGACTGGCTTGACCCATTTATTCTTGTAAACCAGGTGTTCACAAATGCTAACATCAGGCATCAAAATCACAACTTTGTGTGAAGCTTAATTTATCTGGTTGCATTCATTTAAAAACAAATAGCCCTAATAAATAATTTCTTTTCTTAAGTATGTTTGAATGCTTGAATTTAATCCCTTAATTTCCATTTTCAATGGGCCAGAACAAATAAATCTCTACCATTGCAGAAATATGCTAAGCTCTACTCACAGAGTTTTCAAATAATTGAGTGTGTGAAAGCCCATCACCAATAATGTTAACTAAGGAGACAGGGGAGAGGGTAGAGCCAAGAGTAAGATTTGATTCAGTAGCTTACTGGAAATGTTGTGGGATTTTTTTAAGCATAACAACTTATGTTGAAGTAATGGAAATCTATAATCACCACAATGATCTCATATTAGGCCACATACTCAAATTCTCTGAATCTCTGATTCCTAAGCCACAAAATGAAGAATAACAACAGCACTTAAATGATAAGTGTATTGCAAGGATTGATTGAAATAGTGATTATGAGGTGCTTTGCACTGTGCCTGGCCCATGGTCAATAACACTAGCTATTATCATCCCAATCATTGCCTATACCATGTAAGTGATTACTCCTGCTCTAATTTTCCCAAGCTTTTGAAACTCATATTCTCTAAAATAATTTATTTTTCTCTCTTGGACACTATACCAGAAAATACGTTTTTAGCATCCTACATTTTCCAGTTTGTTTTGAAAAAATGACATATAATTGATTATATTATTTATTTCAGATGACTCTTTTTTCCAAAGTAATTCTGATGTGATTCCTTATATAGCATGCTTCACCCCTGTGGAAAATGCCTCTATTAGACCTTGTCATATTTTCCTAAATTGCGTGAATTTAAAATTCAGTGCTACTGATGTCTAGTCCTGGAATACCATATATATAAAAGGCTAGGTGACCAACCATCCATCTGTCCGACAGGCTGGTTGGTACATATGATGCACACTGGCAATTTAAAATTAAACGTTGACTAATGCATGCACAATATTTGTCCCCATCTGACACTGGCCTCCCATTTAAATAAATTTGAAGACAGT